ACCCAGACCATGTGCAGCAGGCTCGTAGCAACTCCTTCCCTCTGAGCCTGCCGCCTTTCCATCAGATTTGGCTAAAACTGGGCGAAGAGCTGAGAAGGCACGAGGGGTGGGCTGGAGAAGTGACAAAGCTGTATCACATCAGCACTACCTTCTTAGGAAACCAAAATGAAAAGATAACGGCTGCCTTTTTAGAGGCCAAAGGGCCCTCCTTTGATCTTATACATCCCATCTCCCTCTCCCACGCAGAAACATTTACCGGCAGCCCCCCCTTTACTAAGACCTTGCTTGCAAGTGTTGTTTAGCTAGAAGACTCTGTGCTCACAAGTGAGAGACGCTGTGCGCCCGTGCACAGGCATGTGCGTACCCGTCACGAAGCGGGGACGGGGTGGCCGTGGCAGGAGGGTGCTGGGGCACTTGGGAGTGCAAGGGAGGGGGATGGAGGCCCACGCAAGCAGCCGGGTTTGCTCGCAGGCGGGGAGGTGGGACGCAGCAAGGGCGGGGGAAAAGGGCTGTGCCTCCGGGGTAGGTCCCTGCGCTATAAAAATGGCTTCGGCTGGATCCAGTGGTAGGGAAGAGAGGCAGCTTCCACCTCTGCTCCTGCCTCCAACAGCATCGTCCAGGCAGGAGGACCCCAAGCGAAGCCAGGCCCCGAGGATGAAGACCCCAGCACTGATGGTCACTGCGCTCCTCCTGGTGCTGCTCTCCTCAGCCCCGGCACCATCTGAGGCACTGGGGGGCTGGGCTGGCGCCCCAGAGAGGCAGCCAGGAGCTGGGGGCCATGGAGAAGACCCTCGGCCACCTGGAGATGGAGGGGACAACCTGCCTGGGCAGGGCTCGGAGGGGAGCCGCCCCCAAGCCAGTGTGTGGGAGCTGGTGAGAGAGGGCCCTGCTGTCTCTGGGTCCCCCAGCAAGGCCATGGCCAAGCCCCCACTGGGCAGCAGCAAGCAGGACCCCCCTGGCAAGCCCCGGAGGCTCCCACCGCAGCCCTCCCACAGCAGGAGCCCAGGGCTGAGCCTTTACCTGAAGGGCCACGGGAAGTTCAACGAGGACACGGTAAGCACAACCCACCCTCGGCCAGCGAGGATGAGGGTTTGCACAGAGGGTTGGCAGGGGGACGGGGAGCGAGGGGAGGCACCAGCCCCCTGCTCTTGACCCCGGGGTCAGGCAGCTCGGTGAGCCCCTTCAGCTGACCCGTCTGCAGGGCATGGAGGGGCCGCACGTAATGGCGTTACGAGCGCCTAAGGAAGAGGATGGGGCCAAAGAAACGGGTCCTTCCCAGCTCCGCGGGTTCCTCCAGGGTGGGCAGGATGTCGCTGGTCCCTGGCACTTGTTGTAACAGGGAGGCAGCAGCAGCTCCGGCAGGTCTGTGCAGCACAGAGACACCGAAACCAGGCAGGACAGCCCCAAAACATGCTGCCACGCTGCAATGCAGGGAAAGGAGAGCATCCTCCTGGCACAGCCCCGTGCCCTGAGCTCCCAGCAGTTTTACCACCCGAACGCTTGCAGTTGTTTGGCTATACACCCACACCAGGCAGCCAAGGCTGGCGTTTCGGGAGAGCAGGACTGGAGTGGCACCTCCCCTCCAGGCAGAGGGTTGCTGCCCCTACACTGTGACCCATGGGCTGCTACTGTCTGCCCTCACGTTGGCCGTATCTGCCTGAACAGCTCAGCCAGCTCTCCAGCTTCAAAACCGGGTCCCCTGTGCACACCTGAGCCCCAGCACCCTTGCGCAGAGCCTCACTGCCCGGCAGTGCCCATGGCACTGTAGGGACATAAAAAGCAGATAGGACTGAGGGCAGCAGGAGCAGCTGCCAAGCATGCCGTGTCCCTGCAAGCATTGGGTAGAAAAGCCGCTTTCGGGCCATTCCTCATGAGCCGAGTGTGAAAGTGCTGGCCACAACACGGCCTCACAGCACTGTTCGGCTTGTGGTGCAGACAAGGGTGGTGGGCAGTGACAACCCTAAAACCCCATCTGGCACCTGGTGAGGCTTAGAGCAGAGCCGACGGCCGTGCACGCAGGCCGTGAGCAGGTCAGGAGGCGAGCGCGGGTCTGGGGGTGTGTCCCAAAACACCATGCCCAGGAGGTGGGCTGGGGGCACCCACCCGTGCCGCACAGGCGGCAGCCCTTCAGCCATGCGGGCCAGCCAACTTAGCATGCCTTCTGCCAAAAGCAGTGATGAGCTGCCCCTGAAACTGCTTCCTCAGGCCCCGGCTTCTCCAGCTCCTTGCATGAAGCTGCTGCTCTATAGCCTGGTGAGCAGCTTGTCCTGCTACTGCACGTTTTACTGCATTATTTTACCGTTTTAAATGGAAACCAAACGTCCAGCAGCAAATGCTCATCCCAGTATATCATACAATCTTCTGCAACTTGGCTTTGCTTTCTAATGAAAGCCTCTCCAGCCTGCCCATCTAGGGGAGATGAAGAGGCTCTTTTGAGCTCATCTCACCCCCAGGCATCACACCACTGCCAGCTCGAGTGTGCCGGTGCCGGCAGCCCT